TAATTATAATATATATAATATATATTAATAATAATTAAGGGGCTTGGAGCATTTTAATTTCCCTGATCAGATCATCTTCTTTTAGTGTTGAGCGCTGCAAGCATCATCCGGACTAGCAACCGACCGTAAGGGGGGAAAGACCATCCTAAAATGGATTCCCACCACCGACATTTGACTATTTTTGGAACATATTCTAGAATTTGTCTGATTTTTCTGCTACGGGGGTGGCAGTTATTACAGTTAAAGTCATATTAAAGTCAAAGTTGTATTAATGTCAAAGTCGTCTCAACGTTGAAGTTGTCTCAACGTCGAAGTCGTCTCAACGTCAAAGTCGTCTCAACGTCAAAGTCATCTCAACGTCGAAGTTGTATTAATGTTGAAGTTATATTAACGTTGAAGTCGTATCAAAGTTGAAGTTGTATTAACGTCAAAGTTGTATTAACGCCGAAGTCGTATCGACGTTGAAGTTGTATCGACATTGAAGTCGTATTAACACCAAAGTCGTATTAACGTTGAAGTCGTATCAACATCGAAATCATATTAATGTCGAAGTTGTATTTAAAGTCAAAATCGTATTAACGCCGAAGTCGTATTAACGTTGAAACCGTATCGACGTCGAAGTCATATCGACGTCGAAGTCATATCGACGTCGAAGTCATATCGACGTCAAAGTCATATCAACGTCGAAGTCATATCAACGTCGAAGTCATATCAACGTCGAAGTCATATCAACGTCAAAGTCATATCAACGTCGAAGTCATATCAATGTCGAAGTCATATCAACGTCAAAGTCATATCAACGTCAAAGTCATATCAACGTCGAAGTCATATCAACGTCAAAGTCATATCAACGTCAAAGTCATATCAATGTCGAAGTCATATCAACGTCAAAGTCATATCAACGTCAAAGTCATATCAACGTCGAAGTCATATCAACGTCGAAGTCATATCAACGTCAAAGTTGTATTTAAAGTCAAAATTGTATTAATGTCGAAATCGTATTAACGTCGAAATCGTATTAACGTCGAAATCGTATTAACGTCGAAATCGTATTAAGGTCGAAATTTTATTAACGTCAAAATTTTATTAACGTCAAAATTTTATTAAATTGTATTAAAGTTTAAATCGCATTAAAGTTTAAATCCTATTAAAGTTTATTGTGCCTGCTCCTTTGCCCCTTTAATCGCCAATTTAAGACTTTACGCCGCAAATTAAAAAAAAAAATGTTCAATTAGCGAGAAATTCGTCTGGGTGATGTGGTGGTAGAATTAGTTGATAGTACCTGGTGAGTGGTAATTTGGGGTGGTATAGTTAAAATCGTGTCCAGATTGGGTAGTAAAGATACAAATGGGTAAATTAATACTTGCAGTGCGGCTGTAACGGGTCAATATATAGAAAATAACACCAAGGTCGCAAAGATAAACAGCCGATCCCGGCGCCGACGAGCATCATGGGGGATGAGCACCGAGGGAATGACGGCGCCAATTAGGGGTTCAGAAGGAATTCCCTTCACCCGCGGAGCCCACTCCCGGCTCTGGGATGCCATCTTCAGCACCTACCGACGGCCACCCTTTGCCAGGGCTGTTGTCCACGAGACGGACCAGGGATCTGCCGTGGCGTAGACCCAAGGACGCGACGGGGCAGGGTCGTTCAGAAGCAGCATCTCACACGGCCAAGCTACGTCCACGTTTCCATCACAAGCAAAGTTTCCCACGTGCCACCAGGCTTGTAGGTGACATTCGGTGGCATCATCCCAGGCAACTTCACGAATTTCAGCAAGCAAAATTCTGGTGTCGCCTTCTCCTGAGGTTTCAGCTTGGACCCACCGTTGGGTTTGAAGGCAACTCAAAGCCAAGGAAACATTCCCTTGGGTTACCCCCAAGGTGATTAATAGTAACACGGTCACCGCAAAATTGGATGTTCTCATTAAGGGACAGTGTTTGGGGTCAACCACGGTCCCGTCCCCAACTTAAGTAGCGATGATCATACAGGAATACGAAGACTTCACAGCGAGGTAGTCATTGCGTCTAGCTTATTGACCAGGACTTGACATCAATACCATCAAGCGCTTCCATGCCAGTCCCCAAAAAGGGGGGGACCCTGCTTGGGTATAAGTTGAGTTGAGGTAGGATGTGGCTACGGAGCTGGGCTCGCCATCCCTCGTCAACAGTAAACGAGAAGGTGGGTCCAATCTGGATGTACCTGCTAATACTGCTCACTCGTCTCATTTTAAGGACCGGTTGGGATCCAAAAGGACTTCTGGAGTGTGATTTATTTTTCTTTTTTTCCAAAATCACGTACGGACCTACTTGGGTAACGACGGGGGATGAAGGCGAGGGTGAGTTGGGAAGGATGGTTGGAGGGCTGGTTGCGATGAGTTTGGGAGGAGACAAGGGAATAATCCAAAATTTGAAAGCGAGAGCCATCAGAGCCTTAGCCTAAAGGCACTCGGTGTCAACAGGGTGAGAAGAAGAAGGGTCACGCTACGAAAAGAGCGACACAGGAACCCCGTGTAACCAGTAGTTCATTATTAAAGGGTTCAAATGAGCCCATGTTTATCATGCAGGTTAGAACATGGGGCACGTCTTCTTTGGATGAGTAACTTGGACTAGTTGGTGGCCTCGGGGCATCTCGAATTCTTTTATTATTGAGCTGTTGAAGCACCATCGGGACTCGTTAACCCATCATCACATCCCACCTCTGCTCCCGCTCCGTGCCGGGTCTTTCCTTTCCGCATGTGGTGCTCGGACCCATCACGCAAAGCAACGTCAGCCCTGGTCCTCCTGTGAATCTCCTGGTGCCTCGTACGGTGGGAGGCTTGGCGGAAGGTTTTTTTGCAGATGGGGCAGCTATAGGGTTTTTCCCCCGTGTGGATTCGTTGGTGGGTGACGAGGAGGAAATTAGAGTGGAAATTCTTCCCGCAGTCGGAGCATCTGTAAGGTCTCCCCTCGGTGTGGAACCGCTGGTGCTTCAGGAGAGCTGCGATGGCACCGAAACATTCCCCACAACTGGGGCACTTATAGGGTTTCTCCTCGGTGTGGCTCCTCCGGTGTCTCCGAAGGGTTGAGCCATCGTTGTAGCACTTCTCACAGTCGGGACACTTGAAGGGTCTCTCCCCCGTATGGATTCGTTGGTGTTTCAGCAGGGTTGCGCTGTGGCTGAAGGTCTTCTCGCACTTGGAGCATCTATAGGGTCGCTCTCCGGCGTGCGTAGCCCGGTGAAGGACCTGAGCTGACTTCGCATGGAAGCTCTTACTACAGTAGGGGCATTTGTACCGTCCCTCCCCCGGGTGGGCTCCCTGAGATGTCCTCTGCTTCTTTTCCATGTGGATCTTCTTGTGTTTGATGAGTCCGGAGCTGTCCGTGTAGCTTTGCCCGCAATCCAGACATTTGTACGGTCTCTCCCCGGTGTGGCTTCGCTGGTGTCTCGTAAGGTGGGAGCTCAACCGAAAGCTTTTATCGCAGTTGAGACAGCTGTAGGGTTTCTCCCCGGTGTGGATTCTCCGATGGGCGACGAGGTCTGAACTCATGATGAAGCTCTTCCCACATTCGGGGCACTTGTAGGGTTTCTCCCCGGTATGGACGCGCTGGTGAACGATGAGGATCGATCTCCGGTTGAAGCCCTTCCCGCACACCGAGCACTTGAACGGCTTCTCTCCCGTATGGATGCGCTGGTGAATGGCCAGGTACCGTCTCAAGCTGAAGTTCTTCCCGCACGCAAGACACCGAAAAGGGTTGTCCACGCTATGGGTGGCCTCGTGGGCCAGCAGATACGCGCTCAACCGAAAGGTCTTCCCGCAAATGAGGCAGACGTAGGGTTTCTCCCCGGTGTGGGTCTTCCGATGGGTGCTGAGGGTGGAGGTGAGGCGGAACCGCTTCCCGCAGTCCGAGCACTTGTAGGGTTTCTCGCCCGTATGGATCCGTTGATGCTTGTTGAGAGCTGACCCAATTCGGAAACCCTTCCCGCACTCGTGGCAGGTGAAGGGCTTTTCACCGGTGTGGATGCGCTGGTGGGGGATGAGGAAGGACCTCCGACTGAAGATCTTCCCGCAGTCGGGACAGCTATAGAGGCCCTTGTCCATGGCCCCAGCGACGTTCTTCCCACTCTTGCCGCAGCTGTAGGTCCTCTTTGTCGCGCGGCTCCCATGGCAGGCCTGCAGCCGTCCACCCTTTCTTGGTGATGGGCGTCCACGGGAGTCGTCGCTTGGTTCTTCAGAGGCTTCTTGTGGTTGACTCTCCCACGCGTGCTGCGCCGTCGGGTCTGGCTCTCGGGGGACGTCCACCTCAGACGGATCCCAACACAGCTCAGATGCTTCTAGTTCCTCCAAACCGTTTTCCTTCCCATCCGCCATCCCGACAGCTGTAGGAACGAAGATCCCAAGCCCCAGTGAGGACAATGCCAAAGCTCCCAGGAAAGTTTAAGGCTCTGACGCCCAAATCCTGCCCAGCAGCTCCAGTGGTGACCCCAGGCTACAACCCCCCACCGCGGCAGCTCGTGGGGCACAAGGAGACGGGAAAAGGCGACGGGAAAGGGACCTGCTGGGGGTTACCGGA